CGAAATTTTCGTTTTTTCCAAAAAGTTAAAAAAACATTGAATATGAATCCGAATTATTATTTTTTTATTTTTTTTTAAAGTACATTTAAAGACAAAAATTTGAAAAAAAAAACATCCCAAAAAGTCAATTTTCAAAAAAGTTATGGTTATTTAACAAAAAAAAGCCGTTTTTTTGTAATAACTTGTAACTTTTTTTGGTTGGGTAAAAAAATTTGAAAAAATTCTGAAAATTGTTTTCAATAGGGTAGAGAAAGATACCAAAATTTCAGAAAAATCGAAAAGGGTCGGTGTCAAAAGTGGTCGATTTGGCATGGAATGCCCCATATATAAAATATATGAAAAATTGATGTGGGTACTCAAATGTACGGTCTCAATGAGTGTAATGTCAGAATGAGCTTATATCTTTAAAAATGTCAATAATTAAGAAATTATGTTGTATTTTATCAATTTATGATATTTTCAAAGATATAAACTCATTATGATGCTACACTCATCAAGAGCTTTCATTTGAGTACCCACTTGCATTTTTGATATATTTTTAATATATACATATATACAATATATATAAATATATGAAAAATTGATGAGAAATTATTAAAAAAAAATCAAATCTCATGATCGTAAATTTTTGAACAGGCATCTATAGATGCCTATAGGTATCCCTATATCTTGTTACTAATCAGTACCACACTGTATTCAATTTTCAGTATTTTAAAAGCCAACCTAATCAAAGAATGTCAATGCAATCATCAATCCTGCCAAGCAAACCCGAAATCCGTGAGCTCGCTAAAATCCTCCGTAAAAATGGCGACCAAGTACTCAGTGGTTCCAGCAAATTATCACTTTCCACAAAACTTCTCCACGATCTGAACGACGCGTTTTCTCTGATCGTCGACGACACCAAAGAACTCGAGAGTTCGTTCCAAGTTTGCAACAACTCCGAAATTGAGATATTCCGAGACCTGAAATTCCTCCACGACTTTGTCCAGAAGACAATATGGCTGAAAATCGTGAACATAAACGACCCAGTGACTGTAGACATAACAAAATTCCGTCACTTGCGCTACCTTGAGTTGCAAAAAGTTTTCATAGATAGCGTAAGAGGTATCCAGGGAATCAGGGGCCAATTGGAGAGCATCTGCTGTACCGGTAACGGCGGGGTCGGTACAGTAGGTCGTCTTCTGAGCTCCTGTGGTGGTGACGCTGGCGTCGGGTTTGTCTGGGCTTCTCTTAACCGTCTTTCACTGCCGTACAATAACCTCGGTCGCCTTGACAAATCTTTAGAATTAGCACCGTGGCTTTCGACAATCGACTTGTCTCATAATTTTATCAGCGCTGCTAATGAATTAGACTGTCTCCCAAACCTTAAATACGTAAACTTAAGCTACAATAAACTAGAATCGATTCCTTCTTTCAATCGATCTTCGTATCGGTCGATAACGATAATAATTCTGAAGAATAATTATATCGATGACTTAACCGGGTTAGAAAATTTGGATTGTCTTTCAGAACTGGACATTTCTTATAATTGTCTGCTAAATCACTCAGTTTTATGGCCACTGTCTTCAATCACGACCCTGCTGTGGCTTAACTTGGTCGGTAACCCTCTGTTCTACCATGATAAGCATCGTTGTTGCACCCTCCGGTACTTGCACGCAGCTCTCGCAGAAAATAAGTTCACACTGGACCTTGTTCCGCTCAGCAAGTCTGAAAAAAACCAAGTAAGCGACAACAGAGCTTATACAATTCGAGGGGAAGTTAAATTAAGCGAACGAGTTTGTTCGCCCGCGGAAATTGACTGTGTCGCGGAGATAGTCTGTGTGCCGGAAAACGACAAGAGAAGAAAGACTGTCGTTAAAGAAGTTGACATTGATGATCTTAGCGATGAGTTTGAGGTTCTTGGAACCGATGGAACCGAACAAACTCCTGGGAAAGGAAAAGGGAGAAAAGATGACCGGGAAAGTGTCTTGGAAACTTCGATGGAACATTTAGAGACTAAGAAAAAGATTTTGGAATTGAGGGAAAAGTTTGGCGGCGATTGGTTGAGAAGTCACGCAGGTTCCGTTGTTCAGGATATCATGGGGCTTGATAAACATCCTGTTGCTTCGGTTCCGAGGAACCTTGATGATCTGGAAGGCCTAGGTGGGTTGGAAAACGGAAAAGTTGTTGAAGAGCTGAGCTCTCAACAGAATGAGCACCAAAATAGCGGCCAGGTTGAAGAAGAACAGAAGGAACTGGAGATCGAGTTCGAGGAACCGAGTAATAATATTGTGGAACTTAGGGAAGAAATTTATGATCCTGAAGAGGAAACTGGTGATTTGTTTCTGGTGAGTCAGAAAAATCCTGATGAAGATATATTTTTGGTTATTACTGATGAATATGTTATTGAACGAGATTCCATTACGGGGAAGATTAAGTATCGGTGGTCTATGGACACTGTTCTGTCGTGTATAATGGGCCGCGGTGAAACGACGAGCGTTGATTTTATCTTTGACACTACGAGGCGCGATCGTCAGTCAAGAATGTATTACGTTGATGGAGAAGATGCTCTTAAAATAGTGAGACTGATGGCAGGGAGAATTAAAAAGCGAGCTATTGTGTTGAAAGTATTTAAGTGTATGAAGTGCTCGACGCATTTTTCTCAAGACCCAGACTACATTGTCGGGGTCGGGATGATAGACATGAAGCCTTGTTGTCCGGCTTGCAAAAGCTCATTGGTAATCCAGACTGATGAATTGATTACTCCTGATGATAAACCCGATGAAAATGGTAATGGTACTGAAGACGGTGATAATGTTAGTTTCAAGCTGAGTTCTACTACGGAAATTGAAAATGTCACGAGCATGGATCTGAGGCACTCCGAGTCGCAGTCGAGTATTGGTAAGTTTTTATTTATTTTCTTCTTTAAAGAGATCCAAGTACCCTCCTAGTGTAGAGAATATCTATAAAGAAATAATACGTAGAACTACTTTTTTATTTATGCATTTTAAAATTAATTAATAACATTTTTGAGGAGATTTCCGAAACATTTACTCATTAAATAATTATTAACATTTAATTGACTAATAAAAAATATAGCACTCTGAATTACCGGTATACACTTGACAACACCGCAAGAGTTCTTTAACCTTAAAATTTATTTATGTTTACTGTCTAACTAAAATGACTAAGATCTTCTAGCATTCAAAAAACCGCGGTTACTTATGCGCCGGGTAACTGCGCAAGCGGTGTTGCCAAGTCAAATACAAGACTTTAAAGAACGGAAGTTCCTTGTGATTTTTCATAAAAAATATAAAATATCTCCGTAATACGTTCGGAAAGCTACTTTTTTATTGCTTTAATCGAAAGCTTATTATTTTTTCAATCAAATTCAATGAAATTAAAATTTTTTTTGAATTGTTAATTGCATTAAATTCTTAACCAAATACACGGCTAGTGGAATCTCCATTTACCTACATGTAAAAATTATAATTTTCAAACCTAATTATTTTATTAAATATCCCGGAAACCTACTGTTTTTTAATTTTTTGATTAATTATTAGGCTACGTAGAATGGATTTACAAATTTTCAAGAAGTTTTTAAAATTTGACTACTTTGCGTGGATCTCCTTAAGCATGTTTTGATAAGTTTTTTATACCGCTAATTGACTGTGAATTATTTAAAAAAGTAAAATCTGAAAAAAAAAAAAATATTTTTTGAATCGTATAATTTTGCAATATTTGTCATCCTTAAAGTTAATATCACTTTAAATCTACAGCTTTATCCACTTCCATAGGAACTTCTTGAGCAACTTCAGTTTGTTCTTTACTCAAATCTTTAGAATTTTCTTTACCTTCATCATCATTATCAATAGAATTTTTATTCTTCAAAAGCCAGTCGACCATAGCTAGCGCGTTATCATTAACACAATTATTTTTATCAGGCAACTCATGACTTCTGCATTTAGTTGTCATTTCTTCTACACCATTGAACCCCAGTGCGTCCATGCAAATAATGTTCATCTTTTTTGACCGAAGAATATAATTTTCTAACAAATTTTTTTTCGTATCATTTTTAACGTAGATAGTTTTCATATGCTTCAAATATTTGCATAAAACACATATCGATATATTATAATTACAAAATCCGGTTTTGTAATTTATTCCATGCTTTTCATACAGCGTTTTATACTCTTTTTTGGTTTCTGGTTTTAAGCTGTGCCACTCACAAGGGGCCTTGACAATATTAAAGATTTTCCTCACTATTTTGTTATCCTTATTGACATAATAAATACTGAACTCTTTGACGCCATATTTATCGTCCGGAATCCGGTAGCCACAAAAATCAATCACGACTTTCATTTTCAGTAAAATTTTAACCTTCTAATAAAATAAACTAAAAATAAAAAAAAAAACCTGTAATTTCAATAAAAATAACATTCTGACCTCAAAAGTAATTCAATTTTTAGATCGAAACAAGTATCATTTTCATCGATCCCAGCTAAAAATTCCCGGGCGTCGCTTAGTCCACCACGTACAACTAGCGCCATCTAACCCGATCCCAAAAGCTTGAATCGCGTCTATTCCTAGGATCATTTCGTACCCAAGCTTAGGAACTACTCTGACATCTAGCTTCAACATTTCGTTGTTTATAACCAGCGGCAAACGAACTGAGCCTTCTATTCTCATAACATGTCCGTCTGCACCGGTCGCGGATTTTCGATCTGAGCTTGACATTCCAGCAGCTTTAAGCAATTGGTCATCGAGTTTTCGGATGCAGGTCGCGGTAGCTCCAGTGTCCAACAGAGCACTGAAAACGCGGCCTTTGATACTCACCGGGAGGAATACTCGATTTTCCGGCAATCTTACTTTACTTAAAAAAGCTTTACGAGCTTTGCTTAGCTCCAACCAATGCAACATAACCATTGAATTGTTAATCGCGCAATAGCTTGGCACATCGTGGCTGTTGCACAAAGTTGATTTCTGGAATTTTCCTCTAAAGCCCAGATCTTCTAGGCACTCGATGTCATCCCGTTCACCGATGAACATTTCCAGAATTTTTTTCTTCATAGTGTTCTCGACGTAAATGTCTTTTGCATTTTCAAAGTAACTGGTCAATATTTCTGCAACATTATTGTGGGGAGTGTCACCACGTTCCCAAGTAATGGCATGTGTTTCGTAGAAATTAATGTATTTATTTTGGTATTTCAGAGGAAGTTTGGAAAATTTGTAAGGTGGTAGCACAACTAGCTTAAAATCCGGGCCTGAATTATTTTTTTTAATTACCGCGCTGAATTCCTTGATTGCGTAGCTATGGTCCGGAAGATTGTAACCGATGAAATCAACAACGATGTTTCTTTTTTGATAGATCATTTTTTGATTAGTTAAACGAATTCTTCTATAAGAATCTATTTGCTTATGACTACAATTTATGATAACCTAAGCGCTGATGCGGAATTTGCAGCAAGGTTTTTTATGTCGATTAGTAATGATCTATGAAGATACTTTAGATCACTTGAGCATTAACAATTAAATCATGAAAAGGAAATATTATCGGTAAATCTACAAAAAAATATTCTGAGTGAAATATATCCTAACAAGTTTTTAATTTTTGAAACTTATTGATTAAGTATCACAGCCGGAAATTAACAAAAATAAATAATTTCAATCTCTCAAGAATGTTCAAATTCGCTCTTAAAGTTTCTTCTTAGCTTCCAATTTTTCCTTTACAAGATATCTGATTTTGTTTCTCAACTTACTGACACTATCTTGTGTGCTCTTGTTATTATTTTTACTGACAACATTATCATCAATATTATCGCGCCAGGAAACGCTGCGAACAAGATTTTTCTTGAACCACTTCAACATGACCCTAGAAAAGTCAACAGGACAAATAACGTTCTTGTAAATATGATTACGGCACTCAGTGCTCTTTTGCGGCTCTTCTTTAAATCCTTCATCTTCCAAACGAATAAAATTATGATTATTTCCAATAAACGCTTCCAACAATTGTTGCTTCTCCAAATTTTCCACGTAAATGTGCGTCGCGTTTCTGAAATATCCAGTTAATATTTCTCGTACTTGTTTGGAATCAGTAGTACCAGTATCCCATTCAATACCGTAATTAGTTTTGAATCCAATGAAGTTGAGGAAGTAGTACTCCCGTAGGTCTTCTGCTCTTTGATAAGGAGGCCTGACTAACAAATTCAAATCTGAGTTTCTTTTGTCAATTGCAATTGCGTTCAATTCTTTGATCATGTAGACTGAATCCGACAAGTAAAAACCGATGAAGTCAACAATGATGCGCTTTTTTAGATGCTTCATTATTCCACTTTTTAGCTTATTTTTGGTCAGCCAAGTTAGCATTATCAGAACATTATCACTTGCGCAATTGTATTCCCTAGGCTCAACATGATTATGACAATTCGTTTTCATTTTATCGTTGAAGCTCAAGCCGTAATCCGTCAACCAAATAGCCTTGAACTGCAAATCGAGGTAATTAACAAGTAACTCATGCTTCAATTGGTCTCGAACATAGATTTTATTTGACGAAAGTAGTTTTTTTCTTAGATCCTTCTTAATAACATCATTATCGTACTTACCGGATTCCCAGTGGATTCCATGGGCGTTGAAATACTTGATATAATTGTCCCTGTCTTGTTTGCTTATTTTGTCCCATGAAAATGGACGCTTAGTGACATAAAAGTTGTTAGAAATTACTTCATTGGTTCTATCGTGTATTAGGTAGAGCGAGTATTCTTTTATTATGAACTGATCATAAGAAAGGAAGTATCCGTTGAAATCGAGGATCGCGTTCATTTTAAATGGGTATAAAAAGTTTTCTTCTATAAGTATTGCTTCGTAAATTGTAGTGTTTTATGACAGACCTTTGGAAAATGTAACTTTTGCAATTGAGTTTGTTAGAGAAGTATCAATTTACCATTAGAGTGCTTTGACTAGAATAGTCGATAGTCAAAAATTTTAATAGCTGGTTTGCCAAAAATGTTTAATAGAAAGTAACGCGTTTAAACAATTGAAAACCCGGTAAAAACACTTAATCTGATCAAACAGAAAAAAAATTAATCAACAAATAATCGTTTTAAAAATTCTGATAAAACAATGTTCAAATTTATCGTAGAAATAATTTCTTGGCTGATAATCCATCCGTAATGTAATTCTTAATTTTATTTCTAAATTCACCAAAAGAACTTAATTTACGTTTAATGCCGGTATAAGTATTACGGCTAAAGTTTGTTTTACTATTAACTGTACTATTGACACTTCGTAATGAATCACCACTGATAAAAGTACGCTTGAACCATTCTACCATGGCCTTAGAATTGTCAATCGCGCAAATACTGTTCGTACTATTATGATTCTTGCAATTAGTTTGCGTTATCGGTTTTTGTCTGAACTGCATATCTTCTAAGTTAAATATATCGTTTCTCTGGCCAATGAACTTCTCTAGCAATTTTTGCTTCCATAAATTTTTCACATAGATGTGAGTCGCTGTTGCAAAATATTTCGTTAAAATTTCTGAAACTTGCTCTAAATTAACATCACCTTTATCCCAAGCAATCTTGTGGGTGTTGTAAAATAATATCATATTTTTCGTGACATTTGAATCCAGCTTGTCATTATTCTTATCAGGTGACTTAACTATCAGATACAAATCCTTATCGTCTGCACTTCTTTTGTCCAATACAATTGCATTTAATTCTTTGATCACGTACATACCATTCAGAAAGGAATAACCACAAAAATCGACAATTATTTGCTTTCGTGATGGCTTTATTAGGCTCCTAACTATTGGCTTTGATACTTGAGCAGCTTTTAACTGTTCTCCGACGATTTCCCTCTCCAAACTAGTGTTAACTTTAGGTATTGTCAAGCTACTAACTATTGGCGTCGTTACGTCGTTGGTCCTCGATTTCGATACACCATAAACTTGTGGTTTTGTATCTGTTAACCATTTTAGCATTCTCTCTACATTATCATTCGCGCAATTATTTTTGAATTTTTGCAGATGATGTTGGCATTTAGTCGACATTAACGGCTTGAAATTAAATTTATATTCCTTCAGATGCACAAATTTCGCTGGAGGATCATTATCAAAATAGCTCAGTAGCAATTTATGTTTATTTTCATCTAACACATAAATATTGGTTTTACCTTGAAACACTTTTTCTAAATGTCTTTTGATTGATTTATAATTGCGAGTACCATAATCCCAATCAATCCCAAATTTACTGGAGAACGTTTTCCATTCCACTTCGCTTTCCGCGTCTAATTGTACCTGATCCTTCTTAATTGGTGGTTTGGACACTTCAAAATCATTCAAAATAGTTTTATATGTCCCGTCTTCAATTATATATAGCGAGTATTCCTTAATAACATACTTATTGTTGATAAGGTAGCCATTGAAATCGATGACGATACTTTCTTTTTTTGGGCGGTATGACGACAATAAACTTAACATTTTTAAAACATTATCGTTAGCACAATTATATTGACGAGGCTCCATATGATTTTTACATTCAGTTTCCATCTTATTTTCAAATTTCAACCCAAAATCGGTCAAATAAATGGCTTTGAAGTCATAGTTAAGATATTCAATTAACAATTCATGTTTTTTTTGGTCTCGAACGAAAATTTTTTTCGCTAAACAAAACTTATTTCTGAGATCACTTTCGATTGACTCAGAATTACGTGAACCGCGACTCCATTCAATACCATGAGAATGGTAATATGCACCATAGTTGTCTCGTTGTTGATTGTCTAATTGTCCCCAAAGCGTTGGAGCTGCCGAGACGTCAGAGTCTTTGGATACAACTTCGTTAGTTTTGGCGTTAATCGAGTACATTGAGTATTCTTTTATTTTAAATTCGTTCTCAGAAAGGTGGTACCCGTTAAAATCAATGACAATATTGATATTTTCACCAGAATTGATGGTATTCGGAGTGAGATTTTGATTGAGTGGTTTTTCTTGAGTGACATTCATTCTAAAATTATCGATTGGTTTCTGGGAGAACCACTCCACCATTTTTAAAACATTATCATTAGCGCAATTGTTCATGGATTTGTTTTTGTGAAACCGACATTTGGTGTGTAAATCAGGTTTGAAAACAAAGCCTAAATCTTTCAAGTATTCAAACTTGAAGTTAAGATCGTCGCCGAGGTAATTGGCAAGCATATCTCGTTTTCCTTTGTAGAGAAGGTAAACAGTTTTGGCGTTACGCAAAACTTCAAATAATTTTTGAACAGCAAATTTTTCCAAATAAGTACCTGTTTTCCATTCGATTCCGTAGATTTTAAGGTAATTTTCGTATATGTTTTTGTTCTTCTTCGATAAAGTTTTCCATTCCATTGAAAACTTTGATACTTCATGCAAAGTAGGGGGTGCCTTATTGCTTCCATCTTTAATCATGCAGATCGAGAACTCCTTGATGATATATTTATTATCAGAGTTGAAGAAACCATTGAAATCAATTATTGTGTTCATTTTTCATGAATATAAGAAGTTGTCTTCTATAAAGATGTAATCGGTCATTGTAATACCTTACAATGATTCTTTGGTAACCATCAAGATTTTTTATTGAATTAGATAGACAGAAATCAATTTGCTCTGAGACTTGTGTGACAAATGTACTCGATTGCAATTAGTGACCAAGCAAGCTTAAAATTTGCATCATTCCATAAAAATGTGTCAAGATATTTATAATTAAAGACTTAATTATTATATTTTATATAATATTTAATTATATCAAATGTTGATGAAAAAAAAAATTATTTTCAAATACTCTTAAATTACAATATTCCAAATGTTTATTAAATTTTTCTCTTATCAAATGATTTTTCAAGAACGATTTTAAGTTTATTTCATTTCAACTATTTTTTTTCGTGGATTTCAATCTATTCCTTGCATTAAGCAAGTTGTGTAAGAAATTTGTATTTGAGCTCGGATCACTAACGTTTGACTCTGTGAAACTATTTGATTCCGACATCGTTGAAGAACTATCTACTGAACTAACTGTATTACCATCATTTAGCATTGGTGGAGAAATCGGTGTTAGATTTTTTTCATGGACTGGGTATTAAACTTGCTGCACTGTTAGATTTTGGAATTGGTGGAGGATTAGGTAATAGGCTCCTTTCAATCGCTGTTTTTTGTATTAATGGACTAGATACTGAGCTCGTTGTACCACTATCTTCCGCCTTCGTTTCACGATTAAATTTGAATCGTTTGGAGCCATTATCCTCCGCTTTTGTTTCATTACTAGCTTGAGGTTCGATCGGTCTTTTAAATTTGGGCATTTTTAAGCCACTAAGTTTTATTTTTGTTACGTTATTAGCTTCTGGTTTTCTATCTTGCAACCAACTGAGCATTTCCTCAACGTTATCGTTCGCGCAATTATTGTTTGATGGCTCCTGATGATAAGAGCAGTTGGTACTCATTTTTGGCTTAAATTCAAATCCTAATTTTTTCAAATATACGAAATTTGATCTTAATTTACCGTCAAGATAGTTTCGTAGTAATCGATATTTAGTTTTACGCATCACATAAATTTTGTATGAATTTCGAAATTCTTGTTGTAAATGTTTTTGAATTGCTTCATAATCGCGAGTACCGAAATCCCAATCAATCCCAAATTCATTAGTATATTCAGTGCATTTCTCTTGGCTTTTTTTGTCCAATTGTTTTTCTTTGATCGGTGGTCTCGAGACTTCAAAATCATTTCGAATAACTTCATAGGTCTCATTTTCAACTACATACAACGAGTATTCTTTAACTACGTACTTGTTGTTGATCATGCAACCATTGAAATCAATGACAATGTTCAGCTTAGGTTGATTAAGAGTTTGTAATAACAACGATACCATTTTCAAAGCATTATCATTGGCGCAATTGTTTTTGCTTCGCTGACTGTGATTCTTACATTTAGTTGTCATTTTATCCTCAAATTCCAAGTTCATATCAGTCAAATAATTGGCTTTAAAGTCATAATTGAGATATTTTTTTAATAAGTTATGCTTTTTTCGGTCCCGTACGTAAATTTCGTTTGACGAACGAAACTTATCTTTAAGATTATTTTTGATAGACTCAGTATCACGTCGACCGCGATTCCATTCAATTCCATAAACGCGATAATAAGCCTTCCACTCGTTCAGTTTGTATTCGTCCAATTGGTCCCAAAGAACAGGAGCTTCCGATACTTGAAAGTCTCTGGATATAACTTGTTTAGTTTTGTTGTGAATAAAGTACATTGCATATTCTTTGATCATATACTCTTCGTCAGTGAAATACCAACCGTTGAAATCGATGACAGTATTGAGATTTCCCCTCGAAAAATCGGTAGTTCTGGCAGTGAACCATTCCACCATTTTTGAAACATTATCATTTGCGCAGTTGTTTTTGTTTGGATGTTCGTGGTACCGGCATTCTGTGTGTAAATCAGGTTTGAAGTCGAAGTCCATCTCTTTGAAGTATTCAAATCTAAACTTAAGTTTGTCACTGAGATAACTAGCTAGCATATCGCGTTTGCCTTTGTACAGAAGGTAAATTCTTCTGGTATTACGCAATACACTCAATAATTCTTTAACAATGAATTTATAGTCATGCGTC